CATAGTGCCTTTTGTGTGCCAGGCACCGTACTAAGCCTTTACAAACATTATCTCATTTGATCCTCACCATAACCCTGGGAGGTAGGTGCTATTAAAATCTCTATTTTACTGTTGAAGAAACAGAGGGTAAGTGACTTGCCCAGGGACATAAAAGTGATAAGTGCCAGAGGCTGGATTTGAACTCAGGTCAATCTTACTTTAACCTTGGAGTTCTATCTATTTTGCCACCTAGTTGCCTCTCAAATAGTGAGTATAGACAACTCTTTCTAGGAGTTGAAAAAGAAAGGAGATATGAAATGGCAGCTTACCAGGAAGGCAGAATCAAGTGAAAGGTTTTTTGTTTTCTTTGGTTTTTTTTGGTTTGGTTTTTTTTTTGCTTATTTGTGGATTTTTTAAATTTTATTTTATTTTTTGTTTTTTTGAATTAATTTTATTTTTGGATTTTTTGAACTGATGTGATTTCACTGATATAGGAAATTCCTCGTGAAGAAAATCTTTCCACCAATGCAGATCATCATCTGCCTTGTAACTTGAAGTCTTAGCAAGCTGAGATGTTAAGTGACTTGCTCAGGGTCATACAATCTGAATGTTATCAAAAGCAGGATTTGAACCCAGGTCTTCCTGACTTCAAGTTTGGCTCCTTGCCCACTATACCACAGTTATCTCTTATCAAGTGAAGGATTTTTTTTTTAAGGACAGGGTAGATCAGTGCATGTAATAGAAAAAGAAGGGTAGATCATGAATGATATAATATGAAAGAGGAAAAAGCAATGATCAATAGCGCAAGGCCCCGATGGTAGAGGGAAAGTGGGGAATGAGTGCATGCTTCAGAGGGGAATGAGTGCATGGCTGCTCCCCCAGGGTGGAACCTGGCCTAATTCTGAGATTCTGGCATGAGCTCAGGTGCTCTGGGACATTCCCAGATCCTCCTTCACCTGGGATTGAAACATCAGATTTCTAGAACCTAAGATTATGTAGATCCAGCCCAAACCAGCTGCTTTGCTATAAGAGAATGGCCTTCCTCCAGACTTCTCTAAACCTCTGGTAAGGGCTACAAAGGCTGTGTCTGAAGGGAGAGAATGCTCTGACTTCCGGGGGGTGGGGGGAAGTGCATCAGTAATGATGTGCAAAGAGGGCAGAATAAGCACTCCAAATTTAAAAACAAAAACTAAAGATTACATCACAAACTGAATAGCGATGCCAGGGGCCTGGTGAACATGCCTGCCCTGCTGCGTAGCCCCTGCCAGGCCACTCCCTGGCCCCCAGCCCTATGACAGAGGAGGAATAGACCCCATGCTTCTCCCTGCGACCCACCCCCTCCCTTCCCAATGTGATAGGGTCAGGCCAAACCCCACTCGGGGTGGAGTTGAGTGGTTGGAGATGAGTCAGAAGGCACTAAGCCCAGCCCGCCCCCTCCCCCTCCCCCTCCCAGCTCCTGTTTCTGCAGGTCTCCCAGGTTCCATGGGTAAACAAGGTTCCTGATGCATCTATGCCCAGGCAAAGGGTTGAGCCATTAGGCTCTTCCTCTGGCCCCCCGACAGATGGGAGCACAGCTTCCGTCCCTTGTTGGGCCAGGAAGGTAGGCTGGGCCCAGGAGCCTGAGGACTTAGAAGGTCAATTTAACAAGCATTTATTAGGTGCTTACTATGTGCCAGGCACTGAGTGCTAGGTGCTAGAGATATAGACACCAAGACTGAAAGAGTGCCTGTCCTTGTGGAATTTACATTTTATTGTTGCACATCAGAGCGGAGAAGGTTGGAACTGAGGCCCAGAACTTCAACGTGATTTGCTCAAGACCACCCAGCTTGAGCAAGGACTAGAACCCAGGTCTTTGATTCCCATTCTGATGCCTTCTTCCCTTAACCATGCTGTGCAGCTGTGAGGGGACAAGGAGGACTCCTTGGAAGACACGAGTCTTATGTTCCCAGCCCTGGCCTTGGTAATTGTGCCACTTGGGCCCAAAGCACATTGGGTCCTTTTGAGCTAACTGGAGGTGGAGCCCTGTAGATTTGGAAAAATAGGAAGGAGAGAAAGCCTGGGGAGCTCCATCAGCTGACGAAGGACCTTCTCTGGCCTCACTCTGCGAATCCAAAATACAAACTGGCATAAGCCCCTGGCAGCCCATTGGGATAGAAGGTCAATTCACTATGACTGCAGATAACACTTGGGGTAAGACTGCTGGGTATAGACCCTATAAAGGGACCAAGAGTGGGTAGGAATTAGATTCTGACTGTCCCCACAGTTTCTTTGGCCAACCTGGGGCTATTACAGACCAATGGTGTACCCCCTCCCCAAGAGGCAGCTCGGCGGCACAGAGGATAGAGTGCTGGGCCTGGAGTTGAGAAGATCAGAGTTCAAATCTGGCCTCAGATCCTTATAGTTGAGTGACCCTGGACAAGTCACTTAGTATCTCAGCTTTAGTTTCCTCAATTGTAAAATAAGGACAAGGATCCTGAGAACTTAGAATCAAGTAATTCAATTTAACAAGCATTTATTAAACATTTAGTTTCCTCAACTATAAAATGAGGATAATAATTGCACCTACCTCATAGGTTTGTTGTGAGGCTCAAATGAAATAATATTTGTAAAGTGCTTAGCACAGTGCCTGGTATAGCAGGTGCTTAATAAAGCCTTCCTTCCTTCCAGCTTTCTGTCCTTCCTTCCTCCCTCCTTGCCTTCCCTTCCTCCTTCTCTCCCTTCCTTCCTTCCTCCCTCTCTGCTTTCTCTCATTCCTTCTTCCCTTCCTCTCTCCCTTCCTTCCTTCCCTTCCTCCTTCTCTCCCTTCCTTCCTCCCTTTCTTGCTTCTTTCCTCCCTTCCTTTCTTTTCTTCCCTCCTTCCTCCCTCCCTTCCTTCCTGCTTTCTTTCCTTCCTCTCTCTCCCTGCCTTCCTTCCTTCTTCCCTCCTTCCCTCCCTGTCTTCCTTTCTTGCTTCTTTCCTTCCTTCTTTCCTTTCTGCCTTTCTTCTTGCTTTCTTTCCTTCCTTCCTCCCTGCCTTTCTTTTCCTCACTCCCTGCTTTCCTTCCTTCTTCCTTCCCTCCCTTCCTTCCTTTTCTTCCCTCCTTCCTCCCTTCTTCTCTGCCTTCCTCCCTTTCTTGCTTCTTTCCTTCCTTCCTTCCTCCCTCCCTGCCTTCCTTCCTAGAGTGGGTGATACATTCTATGAGCCCTGGGTCTCAGAGTTGAGATTCTCTCAGTGAATTGCTCTCAGGATCACAGATATTTACTGTATATCCAAAGAGGTAGGGTGGTGGTGATAAGAGGAAACCAGAGGAGAAGATAGAGTCTTTGTCCATATGGAACTCACAGTCTAGATGGGAAGACTGGACACATTTGCTTAGCTAAGTAACAATACAAAAAGACAAGAACAACAATGTTAGCCGGTGATTAACTGCCTATAAGGCAAGGTTCTGTAGAAATTCAAGGAAATGAGTGATCAGTGTGGCTTGATACAGGCAGGGAAGGCTTCAAGAAGGAAATAAGGCTTACAACAGGTCTTGAAGGACATGCTCAGTTTGAAATAGGCAAAGAGGATCAGGGAGGGCATTTCAGAGGAACAAAGGATGAGCAAAGACTTATAAGTGTAGGAAAGTGCAAGGCATGTTTGGGACATGACCAAGAAGAGCAGTTAGATTGAGACACAGGTACATTGTAGGAGGGGGTAAAAGTGGAGATAAGACCAGGAAGATTGGCTAGTAGAAAATTGAGAGAGCCTTGAATGCCAGGCTGAGGAGTTTATCCTTTATCCTATAGGCAATGGGGAGCCACTGACACTTTTTAAGCAATGGTTACTGATGGTGGTGATGAGCAGGATGGATTAAAGAGAGGAAACATTGAAGGTAAGGAAACGAGTAAGGAAGCTATCTCGAAGTATAGGAGGATAAGGGTGGTGGCAGTGGGAATAGAAAGAAGGGGAGAAGGCGGGTTTTAAAAGAAGAATTAATGGGATCTGGAGACATAGAAATAGTTCATAAGACACAGGGTAGAGTCAAAGTTGATGCCAAGATTTCCAGCCTGGATGACTGGGAGAACAGGAACAGAAAGGGAAGCCAGAAGATGGAACAGGCTTGGGCCAGATGATGATGAATTCTGTTTTGGACACGTTGAGCTGGAAGTACAAGCACATTCAAGTGGAGATGTCCAATGGGGAGTTGGAAGCAGGGGATTCAGGAAAAAGGTCTGAGAAGGAGAGCTATATAATGTGGTTCAGAACATAAGTGTTCCGAGAAGGGAGAGATCTGTGTGTTCTGTTTAGAGAATGGGGTGAAGGGGAAAGGGAAGGCTTCAAGAGGGATGTAGGGCTTGAGATGGGCTTTTGAGAAGCACTAGGATATGAATGGGTGGAGAGATCCTCTCCAAAGAAGACACAAGAAGTTGTGTATGTAATGGGCCATTGACTGAAGATAGAGACTCTTAGACCCTTCTACTCATTACCACCTCAATGCCTAAGAGGCCAGAAAGTTAACTTCCACCCCTCCACAGTCCAAATGTGGGTGCCAAGGGATTGTCCTCCCAATTCCACTATTCCCACTCTGGCTTGCCTCCCCCAGTCCTCTGAGAGGAGAATGTAGGAGGCCTCCTGTCAGAGGACTGTTCCCCCAGTAAGTGATAAAACAAACACAGGGGTAGAAAAATCAGCTCACACTCCAGCCCAGGGGGCCCAGCCTTGACTCCCCCAGCTCTGGCTCCTGGCAGTCGAGCCACCCATAATTGCCTTCTAAAAATATCCCTCCCCCACCTATAGATTTCAAAATATTTAGTTTTCAGGGTATTTAAAATGTGAGCCGGCAGCTTTGCCAGCTCTAGATAACAAAGCTAAACATTTATGCTTTAACTGCATTTCTCTTAATCTGCCGAGATCGTTGTGTTTGATAGGGAGAGGGAGTGCGAACCGGAGTGCAAGATGAATCATGTGCCAGGAGGCTCCCCAGAAGTACACAGTGACTGGAAGCCCCCCGAGTCCTCCCAGTCCAGCCCCCACCTCCCTGACTCTCCCAGAGACGTACCGCTGTTCACATTCAGTTTGCCTTTGGCTGTGTCCTTTCCGAGAATGTTTTCTGCCTCACAGACATACTCCCCAGCGTCTTCCACCTTCACCTTATTGAACTGCAGCCTGGAGTTTCTTCTGTTTGGGGGAGGCAGAGGGTGGAGGGGTGGGGAGAAAGGAAAGAAGTTTTGATTGAAGGTGAGTTGTTTTTTCCCTGACTGCCCCCAGACAGCCTATTTTCCAGCAATGGAAGAGGAGGGGGGTGCACAGCCTATGGGGCTGATTGTGACTGTAAGGGATGGAGAGATGCTGCTGTTTTGGAGAGTGGAAGCCCTTGACTTGAGAGATCCTAAGCTGGTCAGGGAACCTACAAATTCTTTCTAGGCCGGGGCCCCTCTCCACCCTTACACCAAATGCCTCCTCTTCTGCTCTCCTAGTCTGCTGTTCATAGCACTGGAGGGGTAAGGGCAAGGTCAACCCAAGAGGGAATGGAGAAGAAAGGAATCTGTCAGAAAAAGGAAGAAAAGTCAACTTAGAAGAAAAAAAAAGCTGGCACTGCTTATCAGTTGCTGTGACCTACTCCAGAAGAGACAAACGTGAGCCCCACTGAGACCCTAGCTTGGGAATGGGAGCAATTCCTGTAAGTGTTGGAGGTAGCATCCTGAGAAATAGATTCTCATGAACTTTGAGGGTTCATAAGGTTAAGATGGGACCAGGTGCTCCCCAGCACCTCGGAGAGCAGCTACTTTGATGACAATTTTCAGAGCTGCTAAGTTGATAACACCAAACCTGGAGTATTGTTCCTCATCCATCCAGCTCTCAGCCTTTCTGATAAGGTGGGTTTGGATTTGAATACCACCACTACCATCACCATGCATTTGTATGAGTACTTTGAACATTTTTGCCTCTACGTGTATTCCCTCATTCCTCTGAGGAAAGGAGGGGTAAGGGATAATTAGCCCCATTTTACAGAAGAAGTAATTGAGGCCCAGGGGGATGAATGACTTGCCCAAAGTCACCCAGGAACTTAATGGTAGAGCTCGTCCTAGAGCTTCTATCTTCTGACTTCTAGGCGAAGTCTTTTCCTCCAGCAAATTCTGCATTTCCTTTCCTTTCCATATTGGTGAGCTAGTGAGTATATGCCCCTTGTGAGGTCTATCACCAGGGAAGCCAGAGAGTGCTCGATGCTGCATCTTGGTGGGAAGTAAAGTAACCCTTCTCCCTCTCAGGGGTCCCTGCTTGAGACTCCAAGTCTGATCAGAGGGAGGGCACTTCAGCTACACAGGGTCATCCCACCTTGACAAATTACTCTCTCGGCCTCAGGAAAGCTAGGGGCCTGCCCCTCTCTTTGGAATCTCTTTAGTCTCTGGAAATACAGCCTCTAGAAGGCTAGCTCAAAAGCAGTAGTTCTGAGTGTGTGTGTGCTCAGGGGCAGGGTGTAGCTATTCTATTAATTAGATATTGTTCATTGATATGAAAATATAAAGAAAATTCCTCTATGTTCCTGATCCTTTGCCTCCAATATCCTTCTTGGTACAACCTCACCCCCAGCACCAAAATGGGCCATAGTGATGGCACAGACATCCACTTTTTCCTTTTAAGTTGCCTTTTCTATATTTTCTTCTCCATTCCTTTCACCTCCATTTCCTTTGGGATGATTATATCCCTATTCCTTTAACATCCCCAGCCCCTGGGAACCCCCTTGGCCCTGCCTAGAGAATAACTGTTGAGCCTTCCCAGAGCCTTCCCACCCCCTGACCCCAGCCTGGCCAGTCTTCTGGATGAAAGCACAGGACAGTGGCCTGTCCCCTGGGAGAAACAGGACAAAGCAGGAAAATCTCCTTACACAACATGACTTCTCTGTTTCATTATTGAATAGCAAAACTAATTACCAACTTCCCAGAATATCCTTGCCCAAGGGTCCCTAGCTATTGCCGTGAGCAGTGTGCATGAGGGGCGGGGGTGGGAGGAAAAGCGAATTGGGAGGGGCCACAACAGGAGACAGGCAGGGCCAGAAGCCCAGTGGGATAGGAGGAGGGAGAGGGACACTGGCATTGGCATGAGAGGAACGTATCAAACAAATCAAATTGACAAGCACCACTTGTTTCTTTTCCAGAGAAATCTCTCCCCTTTCAGTGAGTCTAGGGGCCTCTGGGGACCATCCTTCTCCTGGGACCCCAGGGACAACTCCCTCCAGTTGTCTTGTCAACACTTTCTGTTGCTATGGAGATGTCCCCAGTGATGCACAGTGATTACTTCTTCCCCAAAGCACATTTTCAGCTCTTTGGCCCAGCTTCTGCCCACAGCCTTGGGGCTCATTCTCTTTGTCAATTACAGTTGATTTCCTTCATTAAAAATAGTTTTAAGGTCCCTCTGACCATCCTACCATCTCCTCCTTGGCTCCAGCTTAATCAGAAACAATGCTCCCCTTTGTCAGGGGAGCCTTTGTCATTGCCCTTGCCAACCCTCCCCTGAAACCTCACTCCAGAAAAAGGGGGACACGTGGGGATCATGGAGTCAGACAATGTAAATCTTGAACTTTCAGAACCTAAAAGAAGTTTTGCTCCCTCCCCCCCATCTCCATAACCCAAACTGGCAAGTTTCCTTTAAACTCCATCATGGTTCTTTATAAGGGCAGGGCAAGGTGGAAGAAGTCTAAGCTTCAACTAGAGGAACAGTAGATAGACAGAAGGATGACCTTATTAGTGACAAGGGGAGTAGGCAAACATGCAGTCAAGTCCTTCCATGGAAATCTTCAGGAACAACAGTATAGGTGCATTAAGACTGTTCTGCTCTGAGGTAGGGAAGGCACACACGATGCCCTCTGGGGACTTCTGTTAGCTCTAGTTCAGAAGTTCTTAACCTGGGGCCCATGAGTTGATTAAAAATAACTTTTTTTTTGCAAATTAATTTCAATATATTTAGTTTCCTTTGTAATCCTATATATTTTATTAAAAACATTTTCAAAACATCATTCAGAAAGGGGGTTCATAGGCTTCAAGAGACAGCCAAAGGAATTTATAACAACAACAACAACACCACCACCTTCATTCTAGTAGGCATTTTATAATTAGGAGCCATCCCGTTGGTTCCTCACTAGAAGACAAGGGCTTAGAGCGAAAAACTGAGGCACACAGTATGGTCTCAGCTCCATACAACAGAACACAGAGGAGAGAGGAAGGCCTCCTGGGAAGTCTTTGGAGTAGGGCTGCTGTCTCCCCACTGTGTCAGCAGCTTGTTTTCTAACTGCTCTTCCTCTAGCCTATCCCACTGGAATCCTGTCTTCCACACTCCCCTCCTCCCCCAATTTAACATCCTCTCCTCTCAGGCTGTATCTTCATGTGTTGTGTCCCCTTAGTTCCCAGGTTTTATTTCCTTATGTGACCTGGCACCCCCCCCCCCTTCCCATATAGTGACTCTGGTAGGAATGCTCCACCTCTCCCCACCCACCCCCCTCCAATCCCCACACTTCCTCTCTGAGCTGCCTGCCCGCCTGCAGGGCCTGTCCTAGCCTGCTTCTCATTAATGATGGAACATGTAGTTCTCCAGGGGAGGGACCTGAATCCTGAGCTGGGGGGTAGAGGAGGTGGAGATTAAAAAAACTCTGCCTAGGAAAGAAGGAAGGAGAGTATAGTGAAGACTGGAAGACAGACTGGGACAGAGGAAGAGAGACAGAAAAAGCCAGCAACACAGGTTTACAGATGGAGAGAACAGAGAAACAGCAGCAAAACCAGAGAGAGACAAAGAGAGATACAGTGGCATTGGCAGGGAGAGGGAGAGAGATACAGTGACAGAAGCAGAACAAAGTATTTGCTACAGATGTAGTAGTAGGTGGTAAATGAGGCAGAAGGTCTCTATTGTTCTTCCTTGGGGTGGAAGAGAATAGATATTTGCCCCTTCCTCCATAATATCAGCTAGGGAGTTAGGGAGGGGTAGGATGTACAAACACACACGTGAAAGCCTGACTCCGAGGGGCTGTGAGGCTCAGGGCTAGGGGCAGATCCATCTGAACTCCCCAGTGTTACAAGCCCAAGGATCCAGTTGGGCTACCTCCATGGGGAGCATAAACCACACATAGATGTTTCCTCATCACGATGTTGGCCCCTCACCCCTCCTTCAAACAGGGCTGAGATGGGGAGGGGTGGAGGGAGGGGCTTCACTATGGGATAACTGAATGACAAACAACATGATGAGGTTTGAGGGAGGTCACTTAATACTACAGAGTGCCCAGGAAAGAAAGAACAGGGGAGCCCCCACTTTAGTTCTAAAGAGCAACTACACAGAGGGAGAAATCAAAGGCCAGACCAAGGTAGCAGTTGTCTCAGCAAGAAATGTGGAATGGAGAGAGGCCTGATTCCCAGTTCAAGTGTCTCAGACCTAGGAGAGAAGAGCTGCTTTGCCCAGAGGGTTGTCAGTCATACAATAACATCATCACCCCAAACTTCAGTCAAGGAAAGGGACAGGGTGAGACTGGAGTCCTCCTTTCCTCAATTCCACTTTGGGGATCCTACCAAAATGGGGTGGAGGTGGGTTAATCTTAGATGATTCAGGAAAGTTACCTCTGTTGATACCACTCACTGGCTTCTCATTCATCAGGACCTATGTCCATGGTTCCCATGTCCAGGGCTTTAAAGGACTTTCACAGCAAAACCTACAGCATAAAGTCTGTAGATCATTCAATCTGGCCACCCCCTAGCTACTACAAGTGGTACTGACCACAAGAGGGTGGTGGAAGGGAAGAACTCAGGAACATCAGAAATGTGCCCTCAGCATTATTAACCCCATGGTCTCCCTAGGCTCTAGGTTTTTCTCTGAAGAGATGGTATGGATTTAGGGATAGAGGGGAGACGTTGAGGGAACTGGCTTTATGAAGGTCTCTGGTGGTGTAGGAGGGAGGGAAAGAGGGAGAGACATGGTACTGCCCACCATTAACTTTATGTGAGTGAAAAGGGCAGGGGGAGAGAGAGAGGCATTGGCGGAGGGCAGAGAAGGTATAGGGGGAGATCACTGGCTTGAGCTATAAGGGGTCCTGGGTGGCTGAATGTTATCCAAGTGGCAACATGTACTAGCCAATTGAACAGAATGAAAAATTGAATCTGGGATACAGGACGAATCCAGGAGGACTTTGATTTTCTGGTAGTAAGGAGCTTTTCATTAATAGCATCCTTGTTCTCCTTCCCCACCCACCTAGACAACCCCTTTGGTTCACTGACTTAACGGCTGCCATGGATACAGGTAAATTCTGTGTTGTTACCTTTTCTGGTAGGAGGCATAAACAGAAAGGGACTTGTTCCTGGGGTCTTCTCAATGCTACAGCTGGTTTTCCCCAGAGTCTCCCTCATATATACACTTGCCCAGGAAGTGTGATGACATTGGTCCAAGATTTCAAAAAGCCTCTAAGTTACTTCCCTTAGGCCTAGACTCAAATAGATGTGACTAAGAGGCCAAGCTTTCAGGAAAGAGATGGAATGGGAACCCAGGGGCTCAGGAGAAAGTAGAAAGAAAAAACTAGTCTTTTATCTTGACCCTGGGCTTCTTGTTCCCACTGAAGAAGATAGGGACAGACTTTTTGCATCCTTTTCAAGCTCGCTATTACTACTGAACAGTGGCTGACCAATGAACAGACAGCACACTCAGATCCTCTCTTCCCAATTCCCCCCTCCCTGCAAACACTGTAGCCACTTCTAAGGAGGGTAGGGTGGTTGGATTGCTGTCATAAGGGAGAACCGTTGCTGTCTGCAAAGTGACAGTCAGAAATCTAATATAAGTTAACCATCTCTAATGGGTACATATGGTACGTCTCAGAGACACTAAGTTCTTTATAACAGAAGCATTATGAGGATAACACCCCAATCTAAAGCAATGACTAATGGTGAGGATTTCAGGCACTGTGGTAAGATCCTGAGGAGATGGGAAGGATGGTCTCTTTCATGATCCCCAAAATCATACTATATAGTTAGCCTCCTTCACTTATGACTTAAAGTTGCCTTCAGAGAACCACAAAAACTTGCTGAGCATTTACTAGGTACTCAGGATCATGCTAGCACTACATGCTGGGGCTACATTCAAAGCCCCAGAGGCAAAGCAAGCAGAGAGGGTTAGCAAAGAATAGCAGGAAGGGGATATCTGAGGTTGGGTAATGTGGACAGTGGGGTGCCACTAGCTAACCTTCGGGTTAGTGCAGCCCCCAGCTGTCAGCTTTGCCTCTTGCTTCTAGAGCTCACCTATCCCCATGAGGCCAGCTGGGGTTTCAGAACTCGGATTCCCAGCTCTCTGTTTCTGAGAGGTCACCCAGAGGGTGCAGGGTAGGCCGCCATTGCCTGGGAAAGCAGGGACTTACTTGCCGTTCCCGTACTTAATCCGGATATCCTTGCTCCTGTTGAGTTCCTTCCCATCCTTGTACCAACGGTAGGCAGGCTGGGGATAGCCGGCAGCTGCCTCACATTTTAGGGACTGCTTTTCCCCCACCTGGACCGTCTGGCTTTTCATTTTCTTCAACTTGGGTGGGACAGCTGAAAAAACACAAAACAGAGGGAGCCATCAATCTTAGCTCTGAGGGTAGTGCACAGCAGATGGGGATTCCCCAGAAGGCAACAGGGTGTGCATGTGCCTGGTGAGGCTTGGCCCATAGGCGGCCAAATTGTTATGTTGGCAAAGTTTATCTCAGGTGCCCCCAGGCTTCTTTTTCTTTGTCTTTTCCCTTTTTCTTGGAGCATCTTAACAAATCTTTCAATGACCCAGATATTTCCTTGATTTTCTTCTTCCTTTTTCCAAACCTGCTCTCAGGAAAGGATCAGCTATCAGCCATTCACACCTGAATGTGAGCATAAATAATTGTAATAATATTAGCTGACATTTATATGAGCACTTTACGAAGCACTTTAGATACATTATCTCATTTGCCTCTCACAACAACCCTGTGAGGTAAGTACCACTGGTATTATTAACCCTATTTTACAGTAAAGGAAGCTGAAGTTTTAAAAGATATTAAGTGAGGCAAATTAAAGCAATTCTGAGGTTCTGCCTCATAATCATCTGATGATTATGTCATGAAGCAAAGATGACAAAAAAGGAAAATGATAAATGTCAGAAGGGTGATGGAAAAAGAGGCACACATTAATGCACTATTGATGAAGCTGAGAATTGGTCTAGCCATCTGGAAAAGCAATTTGGAACTATGTCCCCAATGTCACTAAACTGTGCATACCCCTTGACCCAGCAGCTATATAGCATTACTAGACCTATACCTCAACAACATCAAAGAAAGGGAAGAAGGATCTACATGTATGAAAATATTTATAGCGGCTCTTTTTATGATGTCAAAGAGCTGGAAACTAAGGGGGTATCCATCAATTGGAGAAGAGCTGAAGAAATTATGGAATACCATTGTGCTGTAAAAATGATGAAAGGGACAGTTTCAGAGAAACCTGGGAAAACCTATATGATGATACAGAGTGAAGTGAGCAGAACCCAGAGAACAATTTATACAATAACAACATCGTATAGACAAACAACTTTGAAAGCATGAAGACCTCTGATCAATGCAATGGCCAGTCAACATTCCAGAAGACCCATGATGAAGCAAGCTAACCCCCTCCTGCCAGAGAAACTGAAGGTACAGACTGAGACATATATTTTTGGATATAGCCAACACGGCAATTTGTTTTGATGTGTATTATAAGGATTTCCTTTTGTTTTTCTTTTTTTCCTAGTGGGAAGGGGAAGGTGGTGAGGAGAGAAAATAGATTTTTAATAGAAAAAAAATGTTAAGGTTGTGAGTTAATGAGTATTTAGATTCCGTATTGAATTCCTGATCTTCTTGACTCCATGTCCCACTACTCTTTCCATTAATATCATGCTGCCTCTCTGTGTTCCCTGTCTTAGGAGAATTTAATATCTCAATATTCTATTTCAGGTGTATAGGACTTTGTGAATTCCTTTCACATCTGTTTCTTTGAACCTCACCACAATGTAGTGGATTGTGGTCTGTGTCCTCATTTGACAGATGAGAAAACAGAGGCTAAGGAGATGAAATGACTAATAACATTTTAGAGTAGGAAAGAATTTAGAAGTCCTTGTCTTTCTTTGTATCCTCAGTGTTTAGCACAGAGTCTGGCATACAGTAAGCACTCAATAAATGCTTGCTAATAGACTGATTCCTTATTTTAAGAATGATGAACCTGGAGCCCAGAGGCTAAGTGATTTTATATAAGGTCCCAGTAAGGGGCAGAGCTGGAATTTATACCCAGGCCTCCTAACTCTGAAATCCAGTGGTCTTCCCTAAAGCCCAATGGAATACGGCAAGGCTGGAACTAGTCTTCTGCCTAGCAGTTCAGCATCCTAACATTGCCTTTGTGATAACTGCATCTTCAAAGCTGCTGGCCCCTATTCAAAGGATTAGCTGAGATGGGGGAGGAAAAGGGGATGTTTCTGGTACCTATAAAATCCCATTCTGTAGGAAGTATCCTACTCAGAACCCAATAAGCATTGTGGGCTCTACCCAGGAACAGAAAACACTGGGGATAGAGTCCTGGGTTACTCAGCAGCAAGGCTTATGTCCTGGGCAGCCTGGCTAGTTTAAAGGAGAAACACAGAGAGGAGACAGAAGCCAAGGATATGTGTTCCTGTCCTGGGCTGAACCTGGGCCAACACTCAAGGTCTGAGGGGTGGGGGAATGCATAGGGAAGCTCCCCAATAATTAATGGCCAATAATACAGCTGAGTGATGCTAGATAGCACTTTGTTTCCTCCTCTGACTGCTATGTTACCTATAGGGACAAAATGGGGGCCAATCTTATTGCTACTGATGAGGAGAGGACAGAAAAACAGCAATATTGTCCCATGAGAACTGACTGCTTCCATATGTATCAGACTAGGCTTTAAGCAGGAGCCTAATGAGGGAAGTTGGAGCTCAGGGGACTGTCAGGGTAAGGAGGAGCTAGGGTCCTTTTCATCCTTTGCTTAGAGAATTATCTCAGGGACAGTCCTTGGGGTCCAAGCAAATTGCAGGAACCCATCTTTAGGGACTCACTGGAGCCTGTCTGGGCTGGAGGGTACAGTGAGATGGCACAGGGGACCCAGCACCTACACAGCGACACCGACACCTCGGCCAAGGGAAGGATTTACCTCTGATTTTGTTCTCACTGTGCACCTCTGGATCAGAGAGAGGGAGTCCTCAAGGAGGGGAAGCTTTAACACAGTTAATCTAAAGGCAGCTCTAGCCCCAAAGAGACTAATTGTGCATCACGGAGTCCAAGTCATGCAATGTAAGTAAATGATACGGCAGGTGGGCTGATATACGGAGGCCAGTAGCAGAAAGAGGAAGAGCTGTTCCCATGCAGCAGTGGGAACAGAACTTCCCCATGAAACGATATTGACGCCTCACTCTGAAGATCCTGGGGTGACCCACCCCCAACCTTGAGCTAGATGGCAGAAGAAGGACAGCAGTGAGTCTCAGGGACCCTCCCTCTTTAACTACCATCAAGGGTCCCTTATCTATCTCAGTTCAATAAGAATGCATGGTGGGAAATCCAGGGGGTGTGGGGGGGGTCTCTCCTGGGTCCCCCAAATTTAAAGATGCCTCTCTTCCTGGAAATTCATCCCAGAATCTCAGTTTTCATGGATTGACTGAATCAGGAAGGCCCTCAGAGGGTTACCGAGTTCATTTCTCTGCCTCTGAGAAGGACCTCATTGAAACTTCCACAGGTCGTAGGTGTCTAGAGGCAGAAAGGTTCTCCTTTGTCAGTTGCGGCACATACAATAAAAGGAAAGTGCCTTAGAAACCTTAAATCACCAGAAACTCTTTTCCTTGGGGCTGGGTTCTACAAAGCTGCAGGAAAACAGACCATACCACAAAGGTCAAGGACCTCTATAGGAGGAGTGGGGAGCAGGGGAGTCCTCTGCCTTCGCCTAGGGTTCAACACCACCCACCTGCACCCAGGCGTCACTCCTGTGTCCTGGTACCAGCATAAAAACCAATATCATCAACAAGTTATTTTCATTTTTAGCATTCTGGGAGGCGCCTCTGATGCTGACAGCCCAACCTCGTTAATCTGAGGCGGGCACCGGGCCTTCAGAGATCTGACACAGGAGGCCCAGCTTCACCACCCAGGGAAAGCACAGACACCGCCCCCAGCACCCTCCCTTCCAGGCTCCGCCCATCAATAACAAGGGGATAGGTGGGCAGGGCCAGCGGGTTCTTGAAAGGACTAAAGATCCTCACCCTCCTGACTAATGATGAGCCAGCCCCTTTGTTGGGAAACACCCCGAAACATCAAAGTCTCCCACTTCCCATCTGTCAACCAGGCCCCAGCATCTCAACAGCCCCCCTTCACCTTCTCAAGTAGCTTCCACCTGCACCCCAGCCCAGATGGAGGTGTTGTCTCCAACTCCCCTCTTTCCACCCTCTATCCTGCTGCAACCCATAGGTTGGTAATTATAGACTCTGAGTTCAAATGGAACAGAAAAGAAATGGAAATTTTAAAAAAATGCAACAGACGTAAGAGGCTGCTTTGGCGGGTGCCTGCCCCTTCCCCCGCCTCGTGAAATGGGCAGCCCGATGGTTTCACAGCCCTGCCTCTGACTTGTCTGCAGAAGGAGTGGCTCCGCCCTCAGGAATGCATGGGTGCAGGCACCACCAAGGGGCCTTGGCATGGAAATTCCCAGCTGAGCCAATTTGCATCCCCCAGGGGCAAGGTTTCTGATGGCAACCTGGCATGGATCTAGCTAGGTGTCTTTGTCTGTCCCTGCCTGGCTTAGGCAGCTTGATGATACACTGGAATCTGGAAGATCTGAGTTTGAATTCTGTCTCACTGACTACCTGTGTGACCCTGAGCAAGTCACTTAACCTCTTTAGGCCTCAATTCTAAAATGGGGATAATAATAGCACTGACCTTACAGGGTTGTTGTGAGGATCACAGGGAGATAACATGCAAAACTCTTCCCAAAACCTTAAAGCACTACATAAATGCTGATTCAAATCAGAGCTGATGGAACCTCATCTGAACTCAGTTCAAGAGTTAGATAACAACCATTTATTACATGTCCACTACCATCTTCTTCTGCAGAGAATGAGCTGAGGAAGCCAGGGAGCAGGTGAAAAAGTAAGGCTGGGGCTGAGCTTGGAAGGAGGTGAAAGAAATGAGAGAATGTTGAAGGGGAGAGGGGAGGAAAGAGCCTGTGGGAGCCTAGGCTAGTATCTCCACTTCTTTTGGGAGAGCATTTCCCTTATTGACTCATTTGGCATTTTTTCTCTTCACCCTCCATTACATACAGTGCATACAGAACCCAACCCTGGAGTTCAGTCATATGGGGGTCACATAGGCATGCAGGGCAGAATACAGTCACTTCGGGGTTCAGATTTAGAGATGAGGAAGAAACTATATCATCTGGGGAATCATACAGGCAGGGACTAAAATTAAACAAAGGTAACAGGCACATAGGGCAGAAAGCTACAGTGTCCTGGAGGTAGGGGAGGGGAATGTCACGAAGGTACTCGGGACAGGGACTACAGT